ATACCATGCTTTTGTACATTCTAAGTTCAGTTATGGAATTGTTTTTTGGGGTAGTACATACGTTAGTTATATTAAGCCTTTAATTATACTCCAGAAAACTTACATTCGGATAATATGCAAGGAAAAAATTAGAACAGAATCTTTGCCGTTATTCTCCAAATTAAATATATTACCCTTAAGATATCTTTACGTATTTAAGGTCTTACTTTTATTTTACAATGTAAGTGGAAATGTTGGTGCTGTTATCGATGATGACCCTGAGCGACGCATAACTAGATATGCTCATAATGTAAAACTTCCAAAACCTAATACTTCTTTTTTCCAAAAGACCTTCGCTTACCTGGGTCCTAAATTTCTTAATATTATTCCTAAAAGTATTTTAAATATAAATTCAGACCATTCCTTAAAGAAATCATTAAAAACATACTTATTGAGTATGACGACAGACAATTTCCATCAACTATTTTTGATAATGCAATAATGAATTTTCCAATCTTTCTCATTGTAAATAAAATGCGATAAATCAAGTTATCGATAAAAATTTCAGTAATTTATCGAGGATAATTTGGAACATCACTTAACAACAAGAGATTCTGTGGTTATATATTAAAAATTATGTTTAGTCTGTAGCAGGGGCTTCTTATTTTAGAATCTATATATATAAAATCCAATGTATGTTTGTATATTTGTATGTTTGTATATTTGTATGTTTGTCCTTTATGGACTCCAAAACCGCTCGACAGATTGTAATGAAACTTTCAGGCATTATTAAGTATTATTCAAGGATGGTTTGTGTGAAGTTTGGTGCAGATCCGTCAATAGGGCTCCGCCCCAGTGGCTCTGGAGTTTCCCGTGTTAACCTTTTGAGTACTCATATTTAAATGGAATTAAAGAATCTTAACAGCTGGTGCAACTAAACAATTTGATTCTGTGATGTTCAATAGCATTAAAAAGTTAATAGGTTTACCAACAGGGTGCAGCACTATATTTATTTTTAATTTATGAGAACAGTAAATTTGCAACCAAAAGGTGAGTGAGCGTAGCGAACGAACTTCAACCAGGACGTGATTGAGCCATGCGAACGAGCTCATCTTGAAAATGAACGAGCATGTGACATAAAACCACAATAGGACAGGACGACGTCTGTCGGGCCAGCTAGTACTATTTATAAACATCTGTTCAATAAGATTTTTTGTTAAATCTCAAAACATTTGTTAATCTTTATGTCATATTTTTCTATAAACAGGAATTGTATATACATTTGTCAAGATGGGCCATTTATATTGTCATTTCATGTTAGCTAATACTATATTTTAATCACTTTGTATTCAGACTTGTAACTCCTACGTGCGAGCAGGAAATTCTTTCCTAGCACGTTAGTATTTTATTTCCATATAGATTAAGTTGTAGGTAAGATTTAATTTTTTATTGTGTTTTAGTGTGCATTTTAGTATGTGTCTAAGTATCTTTCTTATCATCAAAAGGACAGTTTGTATTTTTAAGATACCTAATAAGAAATTGTTTTATATTTCAATCAAATTTGTAAAAATTTGGAAATAAAAAATACTTTGACTTTGACTTTGACTTTGTTTCCCTCCCTTCCCATAGCATTTTAGGATTGCCCATACCCTTATCTAATCGTCATAAACAGTTCCCACGCTCCGGACTACTCGCCTTGACTACTTCCTTCACCACTTCCTACGTCGCGGACCTGTTTTCCTTCCTTCCCATAGCATTTTAGGATTGCAGATACCTTAATCTAATCGTCATAGGACTACTCGCCTTGACTACTTCCTTCACCACTTCCTACGTCGCGGACCTGTTTCCCTCCCTTCCCATAGCATTTTAGGATTGCAGATAGCCTGATCTTATCGTAATAAACAGTCCCCACACTCCGGACTGCTCGCCTTTACTACTTCCTTCATCACTTCCTACGTCACGGACCTGTTTCCCTCCCTTCCCATAGCATTTTAGGATTGCCCATACCCTTATCTAATCGTCATAAACAGATCCCAGACTTCTCACTGCTACCCTTGACTACAATGTATCGAGTAATATTCAGTATAATCTTTGCTAAATGATGTTTTTCCTTTTGTACTGTATTTGTAATTTGCTAGTATACTGTGGGTAGTTGGCTTATTATGAACACATGCTTACAAAGAAAACAACAAGTACAACTTCAAGTCTTTTGTTTACTTTTTCCATGTTATTTAATTCAGCCAACAAGGTTACCTAGCAACCCATAAGACTAATGTTAAAAAAATGTGATTTTTAGTTTCATTTTTCTACGTAATTAGATTTTTGTTGGCAGTTCTAACTGCAGTAAACTCGTTTTTAGGCCAGAATTAAACTATTTACAACATTTGAAGAAAATCGTCGGAACCGTTTTCGAGATCTTTGTGCAAGCAAGCATACATACATACATACAAGCAAACATTGCTCGTATTAGAGTATAGGATTTTGATAAAAAGATGTAAATATATTATAATTGGTGGGGACATAAATATCAATGTTTTGGTGGATTCAAGGGAGCACTTAGAACTTAAGAATGTATTAAAGAGTTATGGTATGAAGTATCTTGTAAAATTTCCAACTAGAGTAACTTCTACAACTGCCACTTGTATTGATAATTTTATGTCAAATATTCCCACAAATTGAACTAAAACTGAACTGGTTTAATTTCTAGTTTATCCAATCATGATGCACAAATTATTGAAGTAAATTTAGAAAATTCTTTTAGAAATAATAATGAGTATATAACGTTGCATAAAAGAAGTTTTACAGAACAAAATATAGCAAAATTTTCAAACATGTTGTCTGTAGAAAATTGGTTAAATGTGTATTGTGCCCCAGTTGAAATTAAGTTTGATGTATTTCTAGATATTTTATTTTATTTTATTTTAATGTATGTTTTCCAAAAGTAAAATGTAGGAAACCCTTTAAAACTAAGAACAAATGGATAACTTATGATTTGTATGAGTTGCAATCGGAGATAAAAAATCTTAAGCAGGTCTTCTCATGATCCTAATTTAAATAGGAGTGTCAAAGAAAAAAAAGGAGTATAATAAAAAGATTTTTGACAGTAAAGTTAAACATTATGAAAAACAAATTAGAGAATCTTCAAATGTTAGTAAAACTACTTGGAAAATTGTTAGAGAAGAAATTAATATAAAAAATATGCACATTGAAACAAATATAGCACTGAACTCTGATGGATAAGAAATAAAAGATCCTTGTGTAGTCAGCAATATGTTTAATGATAATGATCATTATATTAATCTAGTTGAGACAAATGTAATTCCTAAGTTGAATCAAGTTGCAGCTTCTTCCAACATTTCTTTGCCTAATTATACTGATAAAGTTTTTGTTCCTACTAGTATAGAGCCTCATCAGCTGGAAAAATCCCCACTTTAGATTCACTGCTTCGTTGTTGGTGAAATTATGGCAGAAGAACTTTGAAGACAAAATCGTCTTAACTTATGTGAGTCTTCATGGTTGCAAACTCAATTTCATTACTGAGTTTGCTCCCTGGAGGGGGGGGGGGATTTTACGAAAGACTAATTGCCCTAGTCAAAAGGTGTCTGAAAAAAGCTATTGGACTACAAAAATTGAACTACACACAATTGTAAACTGTTCTCGTTGAGTCTGAGGCAATTATAAACTCCAGACCACTTGTCTACACATCCTCCAGTGAATCATGTGTAGCAGATGATATAATTACTCCAGGACACTTTTTGAATTTCCACGGGAAAATTGAGTTTTAAGACAGACAGTTGAAGATAAAAGACTTGATACTACCTTTCAAAACGAGAGTTCAACCATGAAAAGGCTTTTAGAAGCTTGGAACAAAGGTAACTCAATATTAGATTCTTTTTGGAGACATTGGCAAACAGAGTATTTAATCTGTCTGCGAGAAAAACGAAACCATGAAATAAAACAAAAGAAAGGTACTTCAAAACTTATTCCACAAATCGGTGACATCGTATTAGTCTCTGAAAACCTACCTCGTGGGAGCAGGAAGATGGGAACGATTGTAGAACTTCACATCAGCCGTGACAAAGAAGTAAGAAGTGCAACTGTAATGTTGAAAAATAAGAAGAAGGTGGTACGACCTTTAAGCTTACTTTACCCCCTGGAAGTAAATTAGTGAAGGAGATGTTAAACTTTTATGTTCCGTGGGAGTGTGGCTAAACCAAGAGACTGGATATAGCTAATGTTTTTATTTACATATGTTTTAAAATATTTAATATATATTATACAATAAATAATTTAATATATAACAAATATTTATATGAACATTAAAATATAAAATCTAAAGAAAAAGAAATATAACATGTATGATATTTTTTGTGATTGTATGTAAATTATTAACTTTTTGAATGAAAACTAAACTGGGTGAAATAAGTGTTCTTTATTCTTTTAACTTAAACTAAATTTTATATATCAAACTAATCCAATTCTTAACTTATATTTACTAAGTAACAAGAAACTTTAAACTTAACTTCTAAACTTTGCTCAACTAAATATATAATTTACACGCTTCCACAATTAAACTTCTTACTGGACAAGAAAACCTAAATCCTCAATATAATTTCGTGTCACCTATGTTTATTTTTTACTTCAATCTAATCCAAAACGTGCGTTGCAACACTCACATGTGTACGGTTCCATTAGAACCTTTGTAACTTGAAGCGCGCTGCTAGCGCTCATTGCAAAATGAACCTTTCAGGCGCGCGTTGCAACGCACGGTGTTGGTAGCATACGGCGAGGAGCCGACAACGGCAGTGAATCGAACACCGAGCAAGCCCTAGAGACACATCGTGGAACCTTCCTTTATTTAGGACAGTCTACATTTATTCTATTTGTCTATTGTAATCGTCAAACCTAAGATTTTTTAAATATATTTAATTGAAAATCAAATGGAAATTCTCTTAGTCTGCAGGTTTGCTGCGGCAGGGGTATTTTTATACATCTTATGTCTAAATAACTTATGGTCTCACCTTTTGGTTATATCCTTCAATTCTTCCTTGTCTTGTTTCTTATCAGGAGGGGACACTATTTTTGATCGATATCCACTCTTTTTTACGATCTCTTGCAAAACTTTCCAATCTGTAATTACTGACTCTGGTTTATCAAAATAGTCGGAGCCTTCAACATATATCATAGTTTCAAAAATGTGATCTGTAAAAAATATTATAAGAGCTCAGAACCTTATAATTATGCAACACTACAGACCACTAAATAGTCCAGGCGCTAAACGGGTTGAGTATGCACTGAAAGTCTGACAAAATTTGACTTTTGATTATTGTTGGGGACATCTAGTAGATGAAAAAAATCGATGATGTCGCATTTCTAGGGTGGTCACAACTCGGGGGGGAGGGGGGGAAGTTGCGCGGGTCATCGGTTTACGTTTCCGCGTCTAACGGTTAATGATAGAAAGGTGAATTAAGCGTCTATCTACGCCCAAATATATTGTCCTTCAAAAAGGTTATTACAACCTTTCTTCTATCTCTTATACTTTAGGCGCTAATCAACATTTATTGCAAATAATACAATATAAAAATACTTTAAAATGAAATATCGGAAATATTGCGCTTGTTTAGGGCATGTTACAAACTATTTATGGTTATAGTGTGATTGTTGACGGAAAGCGGCTGGCTGAAGGGTCGACCCTACTCACACACACGCAGGCCTCACACACACAGACGCAAGGGATTAGGACGGACGTGGGACGGACCATTGTCCTGCCACTCGAGTCATCGGTGGCTCACGGAAATTTAACTATCATTTTTTTTAATTTTACGTTTGTTATAAAATCTGGTAACGCTTTTGACTTCAGCTCAAAATGCTTAGTACAATGATACCAAACAATATATATTTTGCTTACAAAGTGTAAAAGCTACGAATATTTTAACACTTTTTTATTAGGTAGCTACTTGTCATAATCATTTCGTGTTTGGACTCATTTTTCATTGAATTAAACAACAAATTTATCAACACTAACCAGTTTACTGTATATCTAACATCAAATGAATTGCAATTTTGAGGTATCATACAACAGATGTTATATTTCTACTTAGTGAATAGGGGATCGGGGCTTTCAGGCAATTAGGACGGTGGTGAGTGTGCGTGCGTGAGTCGGGTCCCTCGCAGGTAGGGCTGAGCTCCAGCCGCACTCCGGTAAAAATCAGACTATAGAAAAACTAACAAGTAGTACAACAGCACCAAGTTTAAACAAATCTGTGCAAAAACAACAGAGCTACGTTGATTTCAGTAAGAGTAAACGTGGAAAATTCGTAGTAGTATCGAGGCGCGCATGGATGGTACGTAGCCCACAGTCAATATAGGTTTGATGTTGTAAGTAACTATGGGAAAGCTGAATTTTTCTATGCTGTTAGACCATGTTGAGATGATCATTTTCCCAAAAGTCCCCACTCCTACCCCTTTGTGCTTTCCTCTACCCCCCCCCCCCCTATTAGATAAATTTACAGTCTCTTAGAAATTAAGCTATAACTTTAAAACGGATAAGGATAGTAACGCAATCTTTAATTAATCATTTTGCGTTACGATACTCTACAAAAAGTGTATTTACCATGGTATCCTAAATATTCATAGTTAAAAAATATCATAAACATAAAAAAGTAATTTTTATGGATTAATTTATGAAACTTTTCTTTGTAGATTTTTTATACGAGGTCGCACAACAAAATGTTTGATACAAAATTTGGGGTGCATAGTTTACATTTTAAAATGATGATACATAGTTATTAACAGTTTGTTTGCATATAGTGGTTGTAGATAGTACAGTATATTGATTTTACAGGACTCTGGCTTTTTTGTGCACCGCAACAATGAAACAATTACGTATATTATGGTTTTTGTATTTGAATTTGCCGCTTTATATAGATTATATTAACGTTATGTAGCTCATTCAGTACATATACAGACTATAGTGGATACATATGAATGAATATCGTGCATTTGCTGCTGTACGCCAGAGCGTCATTTTATTATAAAGGGTGTCTCACCTAAAGTGAACCAATAGATAATTTTTTTATTATGAGATATAGAGTTAACTTCTTATGGGACACTACCCTTTATTTTAAGATGTTTTTTGAGTGGTTTCGAATTTTAAAAATATGTTCGCCATTTTCCAATATGGCTGACAACTTTGTTAGTCCTATGGAATACCCTGTATTTTATGATTGTTTTAGAATGTAAACGCTCAATTTTTAAACCTTTTTATTCTTGACATTTTTCTCTAAAGCTACTTGTTTAGGAGTTACATCGAAGAAGAAATGGTTTGTGAGTACATCCTGCATCCTGTAGCTCATAAACGAGTAAGTTTAAGAGCGAAAATACAAAGAATAAACAAGTTTTCAAATCACATCTACATAAAAAAACCATAAAATAAATTGTTCCAATATCAAAGTAAGCTACCATTTTTGAAAATGGTGACCATTTTTAAAACAACAAAATCAGTATTTTTTAACGTATTTTATATATTTTTTTGAACGAGGACTTATATGTGACTTATTTATTCTTTGCACTTTCTCTCTCAACTTACTCGTTTATGAGCTACAGGATGCCGAATGTACACCACAAGCCTTTCTTTTAGATATAACAGGCTGTAACTCCTAAATGGGGTAGGTTTAGAGAAAAAATGTCACGAATAAAAAATAGCTTTTAAATTCTAAAAGAATACTAAAATACAGCGTATTCCATGAGAAATAACAAAGTTGGTGGCCATATTGGAAAATGGTGGAGATATATTTTTTTTATTCGTAATCATCCCTAAAAACATTTTTTACAAATAAAGGGGGTCGTCTAATAAAAAGTTAACTCTATATGGAAAATTAAATTTATGTATGTTCAATCTCAACCGGGATGAAACGTGTACCCTTTTATAGCAGAATGTCCAATTTTAATAAAGATACGTAAATTTTGGTCCAACAAGTTATATTTAAATGAATATGAGTTTTTTTGAATTTTTAAATGGCAAAGATTGGCGGGCACTTGGAAATTATCTTAAAGAGGCGTGGAGTAAAGGGTGGGAATTGATAATGGAGTATAATTATTAAATTTAAGAATTGAGATATCAATACAAAAATGGGAAAAATCTATGTAATTTAAAAATTTTTAAAAATATTGTTTGTTAAGTATCTATCAAAGTAAATTATAAAAGTAACAGGTTTGTTTTATGAATTATTAACTGTTGTAGGATTCAGATTCTCAGTAGGCTACATTTAAATTTTATTATTCATTCAATTGTTATCTGATCTTTATTAGTATGTAGTGCTATTTGTGTATATTCTGTAGTTGAAATCAGTTTATTTTTTGAATAATTGTATGTGATTCATGGATTTTTTTAAACTGTTTTAAAATATTTTAAAATCTGTGTGTCTAACACAAAACAGACGGTCTTTGACCATTGTTCTTTGCATTTAAATATAAAAAAAGACACTGTATTGATATTTTATTACAATGAACAAATTTTTTTCTTCTTCAGAAATCCATAATAATTCTTTTTAAATATTTATTTATCTCATAATTCTTTTTGTAGATTATCGTAACGCAAAATGATTAATAAAAGATTGCATTATTATCCTTACCCGTTTTAAAGTTATAGCTTAATTGCTAAGAGGCTGTAAATTTATCTAAAAAGGGGGGTTAGAGGAAAGCACAAGGGGGGAGGAGTGTTGACTTTCGGGAAAATGGTCATCTCAACATGGTCTAACAGCAAAGAAAAATTCAGCTTTCCCATAGTTACTTACAACATCAAACCTATATTGACTGTGGGCTACGTACCATCCATGCGCGCCTCGATACTACTACGAATTTTCCACGTTTACTCTAACTGAAATCAACGTAGCTCTGTTGTTTTTGCACAGATTTGTTTAAACTTGGTGCTGTTGTACTACTTGTTAGTTTTTCTAACCATAAATAGTTTGTAACATGCCCTAAACAAGCGCAATATTTCCGATATTTCATTTTAAAGTATTTTTATATTTTATTATTTGCAATAAATGTTGATTAGCGCCTAAAGTATAAGAGATAGAAGAAAGGTTGTAATAACCTTTTTGAAGGACAATATATTTGGGCGTAGATAGACGCTTAATTCACCTTTCTATCATTAACCGTTTGTGAGTTAGACACGGAAACGTAAACCGATGACCCGCGCAACTTCCCCCCGAGTTGTGACCACCCTAGAAATGCGACATCATCGATTTTTTTCATCTACTAGATGTCCCCAACAATAATCAAAAGTCAAATTTTGTCAGACTTTCAGTGCATACTCAACCCGTTTAGCGCCTGGACTAAAAGGTGGTAGCTTTTACCTTCATGCATTAGGTATTTATTTCAATCAGTGAAACTTCACCATATCCTAGTTCTGTGTTTATTAAACTGCCAAAAAGTAAAAGAGACCTGTTCCTAAATTTCTTGGTACTTATGTGCTTATTGGTGGGATAGTAGCATTAGGCTCATAATGTAAAATCGTGCACTTCTTAGTACTAAATTACAAATTTAGTGGTGTCTGCTTGTCTGCCTACAATTGCAGGGTGTCCAGCATCCCATTAAAATAAAATTCAAAATTACAATTCCAGGTTTTCCAGGTTCGAAATTCAAAATTTCAAGGACAAAACATGCCACGCAAAATAAGCACAATTTACTTGTTTATAGGCAACCTGCTGGTACATTATTAAAATACCTTCTGTGATTTCTGTGATAAATTCACACGATCTCAGCCACATCAGTGATAATATCTTTCGATTGTGGCAAAATTTGTAATGATTTCCAGCGGTCGTGGCAACATCCATGATGAATTCTCGTGATGTGGGACATCCGTGACCACCTTCAGTGATCATATCAACACCTCTGGTTATTTACCACGATCGCGGCATTAAAGGTGTGTTTACACGCTCCATTATTTTTACAATATGGTCTGCACAAACCAAGGCTATGCAAATCGGTTTGAATAGGTCCTACCATTCAGATGCTACGATATTTATACTCAAGCCTCCTTTCCGAATTGCAACAGCCAGTATCTGTTTTGATCGTCATGGAGAAGGTTGTGGTCGGTGTATGCAATTTGTTTAGCAGGAATAGTACCTGGCAAATACGAAAACCTAGGAGTAAACGGTGTAGGTCTTGGCTTCTGACACAAAGCAAGTTTTCATACG